GCTGGCAGTGGTAAAAAACATGCCTGAAATGACAGCATTAAGCAAATAACTACTCGAAATGAGTACTTGAGCAGGGCTGTAGGAAATATGATGATGATAAAAGTAGATCCCTTTGGTTAAACAAGAGCTTGATATGCAACTATGATGGCTACAGTTCTGGACCTATAGAGAGTGAAGCTGAAGACTGAGTGGTTGTCAAGCCTATGCTCTTAGAAGTAGTTGTTAGAGCATGAAAGACTTCAGTGGAAACTTGGGAACTCTTGAAGTGTGAAGGTTCTTTCCTCCCAGCTCTTTTCAAAGGTAGATTCCTATTCCAGCTCTTGTTGTAATGGTCACTATCTTTTTTGGGTGCCAGTTCATTTATATTCATAACTTCTCTCACTGCAGCAACTTTCTCCTTACTCCACTTTAAGGAACTGTTTGATATTTTCTCTGTTTTATGGATAACAAGTACAATTCTAGTCCCCTTGGAGCTGGTGGCAAAAATTCCCCTACAGCAGGACTTGGCCTCATCCCCAGCCCTGGGAAGCTAATGACTGCACTGGCAATTTATCAGGCTTCTGTGGGCTGCTGTTAGTTTGCAGAGTAATGCCAAAATCTCTCTAAATAAAATAACCAAAGCACCACCACAGCTGCCCACACAGGCAGGGGATGTACTTGTTCTTGTACCTTCATCAGGAGAGGACTAGGAATAATTTCTTGCATTCATTACGGATCTGGCAGTACTCTGTCCCTCCTTCTGCAGCACCACAAAAGCAAAGCAAGGCAGTAATTAGCTGGTAGGTCACACTTAGCCATAACACCACAACTGCAAGAAAATCTGGAGTTGAGGTTTTAGCTTAGCTGGCAATGAACTGTTAGTTTAGTGCCATCTCTCTCTAATTAATTAGTTATAATCAAGTAAAGAAGAAAAGTGAAATGAGAAGCACGCAAACACCTCTTGGTTTTAACCCTTTTTGTTACTAATATCTGAAGGGAAAAATAGTTTATTCATTCCCCTTACATGAGCTTTTAGAGAACTTCTCCAGCATATAAATCTGGTAGTGTTGTGACTTCACTTAACTCAGTTTTCAAACTTCTCATAGGGGAGATGCTCCAATTCTCTTAGCAACTTGGTGGCCTCCTCTGGACTTGCTCTAACAGTTCCATGTCCTTCTTATGCTGAGGACACCAGAACTGTGTGCAGTATTCCAGGTGGGTCTCACCAGAGCAGAGTAGAGGGGAAGAATCACCTCTTTGCCCTGCTGCCCACACTCCTGTGGATGCAGCCCAGGATTCCATTGGCTCTCTGGGCTGAGCTCACACTGCAGCTCATGGTGAGTTTCTCATCCACCATCACCCCCAAGTCTTTCTCCTCACTGCTGGTTTAAACTCCTTCTCCACCCAACCTGTAGCTGTGCCTGGGATTGCCATGGCCCAGCTGGTGGACCTTGCACTTCATTTTGTTAAACTTCATGAGGTTTGCATTGGCCCCTCAAGCCTGTAAACATGAGGCCTCTCTGTCTAAAGAGAACATTTACTATCAGATGTACATGGTTTAGTGGGATAAAAGATGAGCCCTTGGGAAAGCTAAAGCATCTGAGAAGATGATACTTAGGAATTTTACAGAAAGGAATAGTAAGAGCTGATGATGAACAGGAGTCAATGACAGGAGATAAGTATCAGTGATTGAAAAGACAGGAAGAGTAAAAATGGTCATTCAGATGTAGAGTAATTACCAGGAAATCATGGGAAGCTTATTTCCTGAAATCAACAAAGTGGTTTGTGCTAGAACTTACAAAATTTATGATTATATGGCAGCCAATTTCAATCCCCTGATAGCATCAGTAATTTGCATTTTTATACCCTGGAGTTAGTTGTCTTGAGATTTATAAGCACAAATTACTTCCCTGTCTTGCTATGAGTGTTCCAAAGGAAAAAAAAGAAAAGAGAAAACTCCTGGAGTTTTATTGCTCTAGAAAGCACAAGATAGTAAAGGTAGATTAGAGCAGGTGGAAGGACAGTAAAAAAGAAGAAAAGAGGAGTGGTTTCAGCTATGGTTTTGCATTTTGAGGCACAAAATCAATAAGAAGTTGGTGTAGGAACAGCAAGAGGTCATTGGAGAGTTCTTTGTGCTGTGCTTCCTATTTAGCTAGAAACTATGATGAATCAAAAGTAGATGTTTAGATAAGGAAAACACTGCTTTAAAGAACAGAAACATGCCTTGTCTCACAATGATTTCTAGCCAGCATGTGTCGCTATTTGTAGGGCTTCTGGCCAGCCCCAACTGCTGCTGCCATCGAGGCTTTGTGACTCCACTGCTGCTTCACAGGAGCAAAGTTAGAACGAAGCTCTCAGGATGTGTCTTGTGACAAGAACCTGTCACACCCCTGGAGTTTTAGAAGGTATTTCCTATGCTGGTATTTTCTTTCCCTTGCCTGTGTTCTTTGGCTACTTAAGACTGTTGCTCTGGCCTTGGTTCAGGAAATCTGTGTATGTAAATACAGATCCTGCTCTTGATCATTCTTAAAGCAAATGTGTAACTCGGTGTTATTGTTAGCACTGAAATAATGTATCTGATGATCTGATTTTAGGCTTAAAATTTGAAACTCTTTGTTTCAGTTTTCTATACCTGTCATGTGAACAGAATAAATTATGTCTCTAAAGGTTGCTGCACCTGTACTCATTTCAGTATCCCATCCCACATGGCTGAAATGAAGTGCTCAGTGTGTGAGTAAGTAAATACAAAAGTATTATTCTTGTTGCACAAGAATCATAGAATTTCATAGAATCATGGAATTTTAGGGCTTGGAATGGAACATATAGATCATCTAGCCCCAACCCCCTGCCCTGGGCAGGGACACCTCCCCATCATAAGGAACTGATTAAGGGATTTGTTCTTGTTTAAAATGCTGTAACAAGTTCTATAATTCTATAATAAGTGAGCATTAGAGACAGGAATGAAACATAAATGTCATGATTCTTAAGAGCCCATTTAACTGCTGTCTTGTGCTTACCTGGAGGATCCACAGCCACTGTGTTCTGGTCTCCTCCTCTGTGCCAGTGCTGAGTATGTAAAATAGCTTTTTCTTGATAGATCTTTTCTTTCCATGGAAAGAACTGCTATAAAGTCAGAGCTGACATGAATGTCAGGTGAAGGGATGTTGTCTTTAAAGAGCTGATTCACTGCCTGGCAAACCCCAAATTTTTCCAGCTTCTGTTAGGCTGAACAGCATGAGGAGCTGCCAAAGTAGTTACTGCAGGGAGAATAGTTCTGGGGAATGGTGTTTGCTGTTCCTGGTTTTAACATTGCTTCTTGGATAGCAGACTGAAGATAGGGAGAAATCTAGTGCCAAGTTTTCCTCAAATCATGCAGAGATATTTCTTCTGCAAGCACAAAGCTTCTGTGTGCAGTTTCATCCTGATTCTCTTTCCCCCTGTAACTTGTGAGGTTAGATTTTCTTATGAGTCTGTCTTGCTCTGAAGCCACCAGTGCTATAACTATTATTTTGAAGCTAGAGTTAATCATTAAAAATTACTTTTCCAAGCTCATACTTCGCAGTCTTTCCATTCCCCCTTACTCTGCTTCATCACTCCTCCGGTCTGGTTGGTAATGGTCCCTGCTGTGCTTTTCTGCCAGGAGGGGCAGCCTGGACAGAGCCTGACCTGCATTTTCCTGATCTAGTGGATGGCAGGGACACCTTCCACTAGCCCAGGTTGCTCCAAGCTCCATCTAGCCTGGACTGGAACTCTCCCAGGGATGGAGCAGCCACAGCTTCTCTGGGCAAGCTTTTGTGATACCAGCTCCATGCTCTAAGGAATTGCCTCCATTCAGTGGGGTAAGTGCTCAGTTATTGGGCTATAAGAACTGCCCTGACTCCTGTTCCTGGTACCTCTTGCCCTGTGGATACAGAACTGCTGCCAAGGGTCAGGCTGTGCAGTCCATACTTTGCTTCCTGTGTATGTTAGCTGTTTGGTCCTTACCTCCTCCAATTACTTTTATGCTTTTCCAGTGATTTGTGCAGCCCAGACCATGAAATGGCCATGGCTATGCTATCAGAAAGCTTTTCATGAGGAGAAATATAATACTACTAATTAATTCTGAGATTCAGATTAGATGTTAGGAGAAATGTTTTCCCTGTTAGGATGTTCAGGCACTGGGATATTGCCCAGGGAGGTGGTGGAGTCACCATCCCTGGAGGTGTTTCAGAGGTGTCTGAATCTGACACTGGAGGATCTGGTTTAGGGGTTCCAGCAGTGACAGGTTAATGGTTGGACTCAGTGATCTTAGAGGTCTTCTCCAGCCTTGAAGATTCTATGATGACATTCAGATATTAAACCATCAAAGAATTAACAAGTAAACTTAAGATAATAAACCTGCCGTGAAGTGATCTCTGTTGAGATCTTACATGGTGCATTGAGTTTGTCTTTGACAGTTGTAATGACAAAATATACAAACAGATCTTTTTCTGAAACAATTTAAAATTATATACATTTATACAACTCTGGTTATTATGGATTTTCTATATCCTCAGTGGGGCTGTAACAGCACAACTCTCAGATTTCATGGGATCCATGACTATGTTTTAATAGGGCAAGTATTTTAATCTGAAGATTATTCATGGTAATGGTGAATGAATGCAGAACCTGCAAAATGCTTTTGGTTCCTGACAGAAATCTCACACAGTTTCGTCTTTATTCTGATTTTCATAGCTTAAATGAGGATTTTTACAGAATCACAGAATCAATCAAGTTAGGAAAGACCTCTGAGATCATCGAGTCCAACCTATGACCTAACACCACTTGTCAATTAGACCATGACACTAAGTGCCATGTCCAGTCTGTCCTTAAACACCTCCAGGGATGGTGACTCCACCACCTCCCTGGGCAATATCCCAGTGCCTGAACATCCTAACAGGGAAAACATTTCTCCTAACATCTAATCTGAATCTCAGAATTAATTAGTAGTATTCTGATTTACAAAACCCTCCAGTGATTTACAAAACTGCATAACATTACTGCGATCTGTGGGACTGGAATTCTTTTGCCCCATTATATAAAAGATCTTGCTGATCAACTGATCCAAATGTAAACACATCGCTGCTCTAGTGGCACAGGAATCCCAACAATGCACTTCAGAGCTGCAGTGCCAGATCCATTTTCATATGGCTCATGAATTCTAAAAGGGGTAACAAGCCTCCTGCATTTGCTCCTCTCCATTGTGGCAGGAATTAAATGCAGCAGCTGTAAGCCTGACATGTTTGTTGCTTTCATAATGCAGTAATGAGTCAGAGTTAATCCAGGCTTTTATTTTTCCTCAAAGAGCAGCAGGGAAAAAAAGCCCCTTGTGAACATTGTTGCTGAGCAGAAATAAAGTGTTTTAGTGATGTAATTTTTGTTTCTTTTCGGCTGTGTGTTCTCTACTTCATGTGCAGGAAATGGATTGTGATGTATTTCTCTTTGAAGTCTTGCTATGAATTTCAGAATACTTCTGATTTGTTGGTTGGACAGTTCTTGTCCACACCTTACTCTTAGGGAAAACATTATTTTGTTTAGGAGAAACTCACCATGGGTTAAAAAGCTCCAAAGGCTTCATCTGTTTCAATGGCACAGAAGAGGTGAGGATGTTAGTTGGACAGAAACAGGGCAAAGTCTGTGGCACATGGGAGATGTTGCAATATCTTTACTCAAAGGGAAATCAAGTCCAAGGAGGTGAAGAGACATGGAATGGTCAAGCCCATGTCAGGAGGTTGGAACTGGTGGATCTTTAAGGTCCCTTTCAACCCAAACCATTCTAGGTTTTATGTGCTTGAAAGGCTGACATGTGTTTTGAGTTCTGTAAGTTGATCTAATAATACAGTAACTCTCCTCACAAATGTCTTAGTTGAGTATTCCTGTTGCTTTCAGACAAATGCATTTCACAGGAGGTACTTCAAACTGTGCTCCCACAGTGTGAGCTTTGGAGTCATCTCTGGAGGATTGTGGTAGGGGAGCAACTTAAGTGCTAGTAGGAAAAAAGTTTGTTGCCTGCTCCAAAGTGGAAAGAAAGCCAATGTGTGATAGGATAAAGTGGAAAGAAAGCCAATGTGTGATCTGTCCTAGGATAAAGGAAGAGTTGTACTGGGCCCTTAAAGCTCTGTCTCAAATGTTTGATTGTGGGGAGGGGAAGGAGACCAGGAAATTGTGCAGACTCTCATCTCCTTTCAGTGGACTCCTATAGTGTTCGTGGGATTTTGTCTCTGTTCCACCAGTTTGTCTAACATTCCTCACACTGTTCCTGTAATTCCTAAAACTATTCACTACTTTGACCTCAAACTTTTGATCTAGTTAGCAGGAACCTTTTCCTATTTAATGTCCATCCAAGGAAAGCTCATGCCTTCATCAAAAGCCTTTCTGGTCTGTACACATCAGCACGATGCTTTCTTCAGCTTCATTAGCCAAAATGCAGACAAAACTTAGACTTCTTACAGCTCTGAAATCCTTAAATGCCTCCAGCCTTTTATTCTCTCTGAATGCCATCTCCGTTGTGCCTGGAAATCCCAAAATGCTCAATGCTTTTCCTAGGATAATTTTATCAATTTGTTCTACAGTTCAAGAGCAACTTTCTTCATATGCACTAAAAGCATCAATACCTTTTAGTATATATTTTCTTTATAGTAAAATAAATGTTAAATTTAACTGCAGGCCAACTGTATTCCATAGTCATTTTCCATGCAGGTTTCCTACGAGGTGACACTCATGAGGCCAAAATACTCTGATTCTCCTCAGGCTTGAATTAGTTACCACTCAGACTGAAAGTTTATTTGGGTTTGTTTTATGAAGAATATTGTCCTTAAGTAACAGCTTATTATAAATTTGAGGTGGGAGATGCTGGAGGATATGGAGGAAGCTAATTTTCTCCCCATATATCCCTGAGATAACAACAGTAGTTTATTTGGGTTGTAAACTTTTGATTAAAGGAATATATTCTGTGGGATATCTGTACAATGCCTTGGACAACAGGACACAAATTTTCTTTGTGGCCTCCAAGAACATAATATGAAACCTAGATGAGAAGATACTTGGAATATTGATTTTTTTTTTGTTTGTTTTATTCCATTCCAATTCCATTCAGATTCTTTATGGTCTTTTTTTTTTAATAAGTGCAGCTTTTGACTTGGGAGCTGCTGCAGCAGGTAAGTGGGCAGAGCAGGGTGATATTATTACAAGTACTTCAATAAAAAACACTGCTGTGGATAGCAGGGTGAAACTAATCTTTAAATACCTTCAAAAATAGTAGTAATATGTGAAATATTGGTGCTTCAGCCTTACCTGGGCTGGTGATGAAGTCACAGTGTGTGAAGCCTGCGATGTCCATCCTCTTCAGGAACAGAACCATGTTGGTTAGGTTTGATTCCTGCACTTTGGCTGGGACATGTGGTTTCATTTCCTTGTACGTGAATTCTTCAGGATACAAACAGAAGAGTTTTCCTGGAAGAGATTTCAGGGAAATTACCTTTTTTTAATATTTTTTCCTCACATTGCCACATTGATTCTATTAATAATTTGAGCTAATGGATTGAAATGTTGAGCTAATGATTCTACCTGATGAAGACATGCCCAGAATTTGTTTATGCATCTCTGCTTGACTTTGGCTGATAGGCTGTGTCCTAACAGAGTCTGCTCTGATTCTAGGATTGTACACCTTTAAATGAAAGAGATATTAAGCATCAGATAAGAACAGGAAGGCTACAAAAATATTAATGGTCTGCAGCGCGTTTTTCTCGAGGTCATTTTACAGGGAGTGTAGTAACAGTTTCAGTTCTTTTTATTCCACCAGCCTGGCAATGAGAGCAGTCAGCACTGACAAATTGACAGGAACTCTAAATATGCTCTAAGATGAATGTCTTTTTTTTCTGGACAAATGTCCCTTACTAAAGCACAAATGTGTAACTATCAAGAAAAGCATCAAAAAAGAGTATTTATTACTTGCAATGGCAGAATCCCGATGTTGTCTGATAACATTTTGTTCAGATTTTTGGCTTAGTACCAAAATGTGACAATTCAGCACAGGACACAAGGGCTGCACCAAAGATCTGCAATGCCCTGGTTTATTTTTTTCTTAATTAGACTGGATTTTGATTAAACTGAGCAGCCAATTCACTCACTGTTCTGGCCACCACATGATGCCCATAAGCCCCTGTAGTGCACAGCAAGACATAGAACAGCTGCCTGGGTAAGGCATCTTTCTATTCATGCCAATTGAATCAATCTTGTCTGCTTGAAGCAGAGTTTTAATGGAAAAGATAAAATATCCTTCAGTGCAGGAGACAAATTCCTTTTGCTCCAGGTAAATTCATGATACATCCCAACTACAAGACTTAGGTAAGAAATTGCTCTGCACAAAAGTTTCCGTGTTCCCTCTGTGTTCAAGTAACTTTCAGCCACACAGATTTGAGTTTGAACTGCTGAGGGATGAATATGACAGGACTAACTTCAGCTGCAGGGCCAAATAGTTGAATTAAAGGTAAATATTGCACAAGCAATAGAAATGCTTATGCACTTGGTTAGAGAATATAACCAACAGAAGCGGTTATGGCCATCAGGACTGTGTTGGAAGTGATTTGTTCCCATTGCATCAGATTTTAGCTTCACAGAAGTCTGGAAACACTGATTTTACTTTGGGTTTCAGATTACCATGGAAGTGAGTTTCATTTCTGCCATCCAAGACAACTGCAGTTTCAGAAATAACTAGACTTATGTGTGGCCTAATTGAAAACTGCTTTTAGGCTGTTGTTCATTTCACACAGAAATATGACTTTATTTTTTAGCTTGACTTGAGCCTGAGTTAGTTTGTAACCCCCACATGAGACCCTTTAAAGCTGACAGGTTTTTGCAATGAAAATGAAAGGTACTAGTACTTCACAAGCTTCTCCCTGAGCTGCTTTCAAGGCTAACCAGGATTAATGATCCCTGCTCCAAAAATTTTTGGAACACTTAACTTCAATTTTGGTTATTCTACTCTGTATTATAGAAAGAAATTGCATGATATTGTTTCTTTTGCCTATAAATGGGATATTTATTTTGACTAGCAAGACACATAGGACAGTCACCAAGCTGTAGTAGTGCATCTTCCAGTCTGTGTGTAATGACATGTTCCTACAGAGTTACTCATTCTTTAGGACATGAGGTTGTATAAATGAAAGGAATGAGGTATTTCTGCAGCTGCAGTTGTGCTTCCCAGGGTGGAAAACAAGACCTGAGGACAAGTTTAGAATGAACTGTAAAAGGCCAAAGGTTCACTAGATAAATTGCAACATTTTGAGGTTCTTGGGTGGTAGCACATAGCCCAGAGGAGCTATGACAAGGAGTTTTCCCTTGGTGTACTATGGTCTGTGGAACTACCTGGATTACTGAATCATTAAACAAGGGATTAGGTTAATCTACTCAACCAGGAAAGCTGGCAATAGGTACCCAAAAAACCTTGAGCAACCTGCTCTGGTGGGAGGTGCCCCTGCCCAGGGCAGGTGGTTGGGCCTGGATCATCTTCCAAGTCCATTCCCTGATTCTAAGAACCAATTGTATTTTGCTCTATCTAGATGATACTGAAATGATAGTTATGACTGATAGGCCAAAACTAAGGTGAGATGGAGTTTGCAAATGTTAGTTTGGTGACCAAATGAGAGGCAGTGTTAATCTGGCTTTACAAACTTGAAATTGTTGGCTTCTGACTGAATTTAGGGAGTCATTGTGATTTCTTGCTTAGTTTTCACATGAGATGCCCATGAAAGTTATTTGATTTGAATGTTAGACTCTTACAGAACCTGAGCTATGAGAGAAAAACTTGTGATCCTTTAGAAACCATTTGCACCAATCTAGGTTGCACATTTCCCTTTCCCCCACCCTGAAAAACCTTCCTGCACAGCTCATTTTTGACAAACTGCTTCTGGTTACGTTTACTAACCTTTCTTCTCTCAACACCAACATCGATGACAAAGGTGACGTTTTTAATCCAAACCAAAGACTCTCCAAAGCTTTTGGTGAGCAGCACTTTTCTTCTGTACTTTTTGCAACACTTCTGTTTGTCTTGGGCTGGTTTGGGAATTAGGTCTTGTTTTGTGGGGTATAAAGGAATGGGGATGAGCTCTCCAAGGTCAGGGTTTAAATTAGGCTGTTCCTGTCTGATCATTTGATAAGCTTTTTCAATTTCCTGTAAGCAAGAGAAATGTATTTTTGCCTCATGAAATTATTATGTTCTTAGCCCAGTTACAATACATCGAACATCAAAGTATGTAAAACCCTTCATACTTTACCCTAATTAATATATTTAAGAATATGTAAGTATTGTAAAGGTTTTAGTTGATTAATGATTAATATACTCGATAAAGACTTAATAAAAGATCCCTAAGCTGCATTAATGAACATGACCTGTAGCAATGACTCACAAATCCAGAGCTTAAATACAAATTTTAAAAGATTTTTGTTGTTGTTTTAGTCTATTTTTTCCTAAATGTAAACCCATTTGTGTTGTGAACGATTTTTTAAAGGCATACAAAAATAATTCATGGGTTTGTTCAGTTTGAAAGGGACTTTTTTAAAGCAGTTTTATTGGCAAAGTTGAAAATCCAGACTGAGTTTTTAATTGAGAGTGACACCACATTTGCAGGAGTTATGGGCTGAAAGTGTCCTATAAAAGTCCTTATAAAGATACAAGAGTGGCTTCAAAGAGCAAAGCTGGCAGCAAGGCAACACATCAGTCTTGATGTTCTCAGTTAATTCATATTTCTGTTTAATTTACAGACAGTTGAGGGTTTGGGAACAGTGAGCCATTAGCAATATGGAACTTTAAATCACAGTGAGCAAGAATTCATGGGATGTTACAGCTCATAATGAGGGAGAAAACTGAGGAATGTCTGCTCAACAAGAAAGAAATTGTGATATTAGTTTGGGAGGGGATTTCCCTGTCCAAATAAAACCCTTTTAATCAGAAATAAAACTTGCCTCCCAGTCCTTGGAAGTGGAAAGAGAGTCTGTTTTCCCTCTGAAATTACCTATTGTAGATATGGGAACTGATACAGAGAATTCATTGCTTGTAAAATCTGTCTCTATGGAGTTTGCAACTGTTTATTAGCATTATTAAAAGCATTTCATATCCATCCCCTTTTTCACAGGGAAAAGCAACATTACCTAGGTATTCATGGTCATTTATCTTTGCTGTGGAAAGTCATTATCTCCTGGAGTTACTCAGGTGAGTTTGTTGCTCTAAAGCAGATTTAATGACATGGAGTGGAAGATTAAAGATCACTATCAGGATAATCATAGTAATAGTAGTAGTAAGTGTTGAGCTATTTATTTGCTTGTCAGATTGCTCTGACAGCAGTGAATGGAAGGAGTCACTGCTCTGTTCAGGGATTCAGAGATGCCACTACTGAGAACAGCCAAATCCATGCAGATTCCTGGATTATCTGTCACACCTCTGCAGTGACATTTCCCTCCTGCTGTTGTGTATACAAGTGGTTGGGAAGTTTGCTGCCATACAGGAGAATCCCAATGGAAAAATCTCATTGGCAAGTTAATGTAAAAACATTCCTGAGCAGTAGGACATTTATGGAATCAGGGCATGTGTCCATT